GTTGGTGTTGGTGTTGGTGTTGTTGGTGGTGGTGTTGGTGTTTGTTAGTTGATGTTGGTGTTGCTGTTCTTGTTGTCGTCGTTGTTGTTGCTGTTGCTGCTGCTGTTGTTGGTGCTGTTGGTATTATTGTTGTGGTTGCTGCTGTTGTTGTTGTTGTTGTTGTTGTTGTTGTTGTTGTTGATGTTGTTGTTGTTGTTGAATATTATTACTTCTAAAGAAATATTATTGTTGAGACCCCTGGTGCGCGACCCCCCTCCAAAACCTAGGCCGCAGCCTCATTTCCTTCATTTTCTAGCGTAAGCTTCAGAAAAGTGGATTGTGTCCGGATCCGGTTGTTTTGTTGTAATCCGTTTTCCCTTGCAAAAAACACTATAAAATGAAAATTCTTGTTCTTACTTGATCAAATTGCAAGAATCCCTTGCAAAAAATAAGGTAAAGTGGACATTCGTGCGCGCAAGACGAAATCCTTCCAAAACCTTAGGTTTCGTAACGATTTAAACATAAAAACATCAAAAACCCAATGGTTTTTTAAGAAAAAATTGTCAAAATGTCCTTCCGCGCGCGCTGTCCGAATCCCACAAAACCAATGGTTTTTTCAACATTTATGTTACATGAGCTCGCGCGAGCTACTTTTTCTTGTTCTAACATAATCAAATTTCAATAATCCCTTGCAAAAAAATAAGGTAAAGTGGACATTCGCGCGCGCAAGACGAAATCCTTCCAGAACCTTAGGTTTCGTAACGATTTCAACATAAAAACATCAAAAACCCAATGGTTTTTCAAACAAAAATGTCCAAATTTCATCCCGCGCGCGCTGTCCGACTCCCACAAACCCAATGGTTTTTCAACATTTATGTTACATGAGCTCGCGCGAGCTACTTTTTCTTGTTCTAACATAATCAAATTTCAATACTCCCTTGCAAAAAAAAGTAAAGTGGACATTCGCGCGCGCAAGACCAACAAAAAACACGACGATCTCAGGAACTTGCCCCAAAAATGTGACCTACTCCGCTCTCTCTGTCTCTCTCTCTGTCTGCTCTCTGTCTCTCTCTCTGTCTGTCTGTGTCATGTATTGTATGTCACAATTGCAGGATGCTGGGCACACGCGCGCCCCGAATAAGTGACCAAGTTCTGTGGGTGTGTACCCCACGCCAGTGTAGTAGCCACGGTCGACCGCACGCCACGAAGTGAAGTGTCCCAACGTCATAGGGCAGGAAGCTGGGTT